CCCAAGCACCAGCAGCACAGGCAAGCAGGCCACTTATTTGCTTTTGCAGTTCAGACTTTTCTGAAGTTTTTGATGACTCGCAGTGGAAAATTACTTGGAAAAATAAATAAGATTAATACTATAAAATCAAGAAACCTTTTCATGCTCACTCTTTCTGAAGTGTTTGCTCCAGTAACTTTCAGGCCTAGACATTAAGATCCTGTACTTCAGGACAGAAAGAGTATGTACACATCTATACCACAACATACAATTTTCAGCTGATGTGTATGTTTCGGTATACAAACACACACACACAGAAGAGGAGGTGCCAAGTGCTAACACAAGATTGCAGATAAAGTACATGAATATTCTGAGCACAGGGCTGTTTGCCACATCCACGTACACACAGCATGTGCATCACAGCATACCATATGTGTGTTAAGGGCACAAGGACAGCAGGTACTGCCCCGAAGAAGTTACAGTCTTTCAACAAGCAATTTTACAGCTCACGTCTTTGCCCTTAGGCTTCTTGGTACAATCTGCACCACAGCACTATAGTTTCTGCCTCTTGTACCCTCAACCAGGAGCTTCTGAAAGCAGAGGGTCGCAGCCTGGTCTTTGCAGTGCACCAAGAACACAGTGCGCGCACTTGCACACACGTGTGAAAGTCCTGAGCACGCATCAGCACTAACTCGCCTAGGGGTAAACCGCCAGAGCCTTACCAGTAAGAGGATCTTCGACCAAAGCCAATTGTGCCGAAATACAGGGAAGGTCTCCGTGGGAAAAGCCCCAGGCAACAACCGATGGCTCCGTACCCGTGTCAGGCAAGCCCTTCCTCAAGCTACCAGGCGGCCCTAAAGCGTGAGGTCCGTCCTCACAGCCCACGCTCCCCGTGTATTCCTCCCTGCCAAAAGCAGGCGTCCCCTCGGGCGGCCGCAGTTCCCGGGACAAGCAAAGTTGGAGGCCGCCCCCCGCGCCCTGCGGCCGCGGCGCACGGGACGGCGAGAGCCGCGCTCCGCGCTGCGGGAGCCCCGCTGCCCGCGCCGCGCCCGGGGCAACGCCGCGCCCGGGGCTCGCACGCATCTCCCTCCCGGGCCCGGCCCGGCCCCGCCGCCGACGGTGATGCCCCGGCCGCCCGCCGAGCCCCGGCCTCCCCTTCCTCCGCCGCGCTCTCCGGCGGCCTCAGGCCCCACCAGCGACCCTCAGGTGAGGGAGCCCACGGGGACCCCGGCGCACGGCAGGGACCGGCCCCCTCCCCGCCATCACCACCCGGCGGCGGCGGCAGCGGTTGCTGAGCAGCGCCCGAGTCGCAAAAGCGGCGGCGCCAGGCCCGGGGGAGAGATGGGGAGCGCTGGCCGGAGCACCCCGGTCTCCCCTCGGTACCCGCTTCCCCGCCGCCGCGGCTGCCGCTGAGCCCCCGCATCCCCTTACCGGAGTGCCGGCGCCGCCGGCGGAGCCCGCGCTGCCGCTGCCACGGGTGCCGGGCGGGGGGGCGGCGGGGCTGGCGGGCGGGGGAGCGGCGGGAGGAGACGGAAGCAGGAACCCGCCGGCGGCGGAGCGGAGCCGGCGGGGACGGGGCGCGGGGCGCGGGCAGGGCGCGCGCCGAGGGCGGGGAGCGGCGCGCGGGCAGCGGTGACAGCGGCGCGCGGCCCGAGCAGCGCGCGCCCCCGCCGGCGCGGTAGGAAGAGCCGCGCCGCGGGCGCGCGCCTGCCGGGGGAAGCAGCCTATGGGAGCGCGAGCCGGGCCCCGGTACCGCGGGAGCGCCCCCGTCACGGAGCGCCGGAGCGCGCATGCGCGCCCCGGACCTTCCAGCGCCGCCGCTCCCCCCGCCCCGCCGCCTCCTCCCGCGCGCGCCCGCCCCGGGAGCGGCCGGGACGGGCGGGACGGCTCGGCGGCGTCCCCGCATCGCCGCGGGGGCTGTCCCCGCATCGCCGCGCGGGAGGCGCAGGAGCGGCCGCGTTCACCCCGGCGATGGGCGTGAGCGCGGAGCAGCGGCGCCCGGCCGCGCGAGGGAGCGCGGCGGAGATGGGGCGCGGCGGCGGCGGCGTTGCAGGGCACCCCTGAACTGCCGCTTGATCCCGCCGGGAAGGCGCCCCTGCCCCGGCTGGCTTTGTCCTCGGCAGCGATGCCGAGCCGCGGGCAGGGCCGCCCGCAGCCCCCGGCAGCGCTGCTGCCCGCAACAGGCTGGTCCCGCCCGCAGCGCCAGCGCATCCTGCCCGGGAACAGGCTTAGTGGTTTTAATGCAGAGATCCCTAGAAAAGAGAGAAATCTCACGAAATTTTGTATTATGAGAGAAAAAGGGGTGCTCTGTGGCTGCTGGGTGACTGCAGGACTGGGGAGAGGCCCGCTCTCATCCAAGTACCCTTGATTGTTCCACCTTTGTGGCTTGACAAAATCCTTCCCAAAAGTGCACGTAAACGGGTGAACTCGGATGGATGTGGAATTTCAGGCGTCTAACCTAGCTGTAATTTCCTAAAGATTCATCTAGGGAAACTATGTACATTTTAAAAGTTTGCAATGTGCACTATAATGTTTTGGTGCGCTTGGCAGACGAAATGTCAGAGATGGGAAGGTAGCATGTAAAGTAGAAATTGTAGTAGGAGTATGTTAGAAGATACTGTGATTTCGGTAAAAGCCAGAGCTAGTTCGGATGGATATTTTGTAACTATCACATCCTTTTTGCACCCCCTCCCAGAGCTCAGAAGAGCTGTTCAGCATATTGGTGTTCTGTCCTGTATTCCTTCACACTTGTCTTCCCTGGTTTATTTCGCTAGCCCTCTTGTTGGTTTTTGTTTTGGTTTTGGGTTTTTTTTCCCCAGAACTAGTAAACATTCACAAATGTCCTTGTAAGGCGTGAGACATTATGCCAGTGTCTTTTGGTTTTTCTTTTTTGACTTCATACATTCTGGATCAGCTGTGTGCTAACATGGAGCTTGGGGCACAACCACCACCAGCATTGTCTGGGGGATGCCAAGAAGAGTTACAATATGCTGTGCCCATAGCAACCTTCCAGAGCGATCTGGAAATGCAGAAATAATTAATATATCTTTTTTTCCCTAAGGTTTTGATTCCTAACTGACAATAATAGAGATTAGTTGAGAAATTGAGATGATAAGCAGATTGCTGATGGTTGTCAAGCGCTGAGCGCAGTTGCCAGCTCCTATGACTGCAACAGTTGTTATACCTACTAACAATTATATTGCCTACAAATTTAGTCAAAGATTTATATTCCAAAATCCAGTTCCATAAATCAAAAACATTTTTAAAGTCTAGGTATATGCAAAAGGACCAAAAGTGTGTGCAGTGCAGGGAAGGGAATGAAGCCCCCATGCCTGGAAATATTCAACATCAGATGGAACGGGTCTTTGAGCAACTTGATCTGGCTGAAGATGTCCCTGCTTATTGTAGGGGGTTTGGACTAGAAGACCTTTAAAGGCCCCTTTCCAACACAAATCATTCTGTGACTCAAAGCTGATGATCCAGAAACCAAGGCATGTCTTTCCAAATGATACATTTAACTTTGCTTGGAGGATGTCACCTAAAGAAGGATTCTAAAAGAAAGTAAAATTGTTCAGGAGACTTCTGAAAAGTGAAGATCTTGTGGTGAGTCTTTTCTGTCTGGTAGGAAAATACTATTTGCTAGACATAAATCTGATCACTAACCCACAAAATATTAGAGTACTTTCACTGCAAACAGTTCTTAGATACAATGTTTGCAAACTGGACAAAAATCAGGCCAAAATAGATGGATTCTTTCATTGATACAGTCATGGTGATTTCAGTTGTACTTACTGTGGTGTGAAATTAAGTTCATTTCAAGTGATTGTTTAATGCAACAAGGAAACTACTGCTGGTTTACTTGCTTTCAAGCCCATGATATTCTGTGCTACAGGCATATATTCTTAAATCAAAGAAAATTACACAGTACCATGCCCAGTATCCACTGGAGATACCAGTGGGTAAAATGTGATCAATCTGCACATAACTTGTACAGTTAGGAGTTATTTTTATTTATATTGCAGTTTCTAATCATGTCATAGCACCTACTGCTATGAGCCTCATTTTTATTTTAAGGAATTTGTGAGCTAAGCTGTGCTAAGCCATAATATAATGGGAGAAAGAAAATGAAATTATTAGGGAGAAAGATGAAAAGCTAGTGAGAGGAGTGCTGCTTCAGAGTGCTAACATTTTACAAATGCTAAATGCAGCAGGTACATACAATTTGAAGTACATTTCCCAAATTATACTGAAAGGCCAGCAACTAATTTTATTTTCACCACATAAAGCTCATTTTTACTGTAAAATGCCTCTTGTGACTCCAACAACTTCTTCATCCCATGACCAAGGGGCAGAGCCTTAGTTTTTGTGGTGCTCTGAAATGCTTGGGAAGGGAAATTTATACTAGAATATTGGACATTTTTTCACTACAATGGTTAGGAAATTAATTTTCTTAAACAATTTTAAGGTGGAGGATTCTAGTTTTAGTTCTGGGGTGTACAGTTTCTAGTCCTCAATCTCACAGTCTAATAAATCACTTTTACCTGATACAGACCCAAAATCTGCTGGAGTCAGCTAATTCTCTCCACTTGGCAAGAAGGTGGTAGCACTTTCACATAGCAGGTGGAATCTCAGCAGGGCAACTCTAGTTTCACTTTGATGAGACATCCTGCCACCTGTCTCAGAAGTTCCTCTGAGTAGCAATGTGAGTTAAAATGGAATGTAAAGGTATTTTGATTTTTACATGAACACATACTAAAAAGTCTACATTTAAACCTCCCTAGAAACAAAATTCTACTTTCGTGAACTTTTTATTTCTCTGTGCAGTATTAACAAGTTGTCTCTTATTCTTCACTATCTCTGAACCCCAGAGCCATAAAGCAGTCTTAATGGATAACAACAACTCCCCCAAAAAATATCTTAAGTCCTTATCCCTTTATATTAACTTATTAGAAGAATATTCAGGTTTTAGCTATCACAGTAGTAAAAGTAAACTTAAAATAGAGAACCACCAGAGCTGGAAGGGATGTTAAAAAGTACTTCTCAAATTTTTTTTTTAATTAAGCATCAGTTAGGGACATTGGTTAGCTTAGATTTTGTGGACAATTTTTAATTATTGCAAGGTAACTGTACCTTGGAAATACTTCATTTATAAAGACATCCAATTCTCCATGTGACATCAGAGTTAAACCACATCTTTATCTGAATCCTACCATATGCAACTTGGTGCTGCAAATTTGCTTTATTTCATACCAACTAGTCTATATTACCTGTTGCAGACCACTGTAAAATGGTAATACTCAAGGACCACTAAAACTAAAATCAGAATAGGTGAGTGTTACAGGTATTTTTCTCTTTGCTTACTATAAAATATAATACAGTTTGTAGCATCATTTATCCAAGCTTTGTTTTGTCATATGAAGGAGGAAGAAGACACAGGTAGGAACAGCTCAAAAAAACAGTATATTCAAGAAAGAAATGTATAAATTACGTTTGAAAAAACTGGAGTGGAAGGGTGTTATGCCTTCATCCCTCATAAATAAAGACTGTATATACTGAAGAGGATGAGTTGGGAAAAAAAACCCCAAAGATCTAAATCAGTTTATTTTTCTTCCGTGTAGAAGTCAACATGCTGTGAGTACCCAGACACTGCACCAGTCTGGAAACTGCAGAAATGCAACTGTAACATAAGAATTACAGAAAACATGTCATAGGGGTTAAAGGTAATTCAAGACACAGTAGGAATGAGATTACAGAAAGTGCCAATATTACATAAACTTTTAAAAAATTCTAAGGCTATTACCAATCATTTAATGTAAAAACAAATTTCTTAAATTCTAATGAACATTTTAGAGAATCCATCAAATGTTTCTGTTGTAGACCTCAGAATTTTTCCTGCTTTTTCCACTGGCTTGAAATTGGGTCTTGTACTTGTTAGGTCTCAGCTTCATGTAGAAAAGAATTTCAAATACTTGAAACATCCCTCCCAAGTTAGTAGTGTTTTAAGAAAAATTTTAAAACATTTTTACTACAACTTATATCTGTGTCTGTTAAAGGATATTATGAAAGTTTATTTCTGCTTTTCCAGGAAGTGCCAGCAGGTACAGCCAGTTACTGTAAGTGCACTACAAAGCAGTGGTTCCTCCTCTGTGGGGAAAAGAAAAAAAAAACACTGAATTACTGAGATGCATTGCTGTTAAAAGATGTGAGACAGTGCTTCAGCATAACCTACAGAAGTACTTGCAGCTGCAGAGCAACTCAAGAAACTTTTCTGTCCCATTAACCAAAACACTTTCAATTTCCATCTTGAAGCAGGTGAAACCATAACAAACATTGCACAAGGACTGTTTATCTGTACCCAAAACATTAGAATAAAGTGTTTATATGAATCAGAACAAACTTATTCTTTCTTGACACTTTCACATTTACAATTCTTGAGTTGTAGTCCGATTTGATGTGGCATAGAAGCTTGTTTCACTTTACTGGTTTTATTGGAAGCAAAGGCTTAAAGGTCAGAAGGAACAAAGGGCAAACAATTAAAATGTGCTGGGTAGGTTGTGTAATCAAAAAATCATGTTGTGGATTTCATTATACATCAGAGATGCCTATGGTTATGCGGAAAATACAGCTGCACAGTGGTATCTCTTCTGGGGAAATGAAGCAAGGATAGCTTCACTAACTAACAGCAGCAGTCTGTACATCTCAGCAGAACAGAGACCATTCTTGTGTTATATTGGAAAGAGTAAAGTAAAATAATGTAAATGCAGTGGCAAAAGGATCTTCTCCATGTGTACATTCTTTCTTTACATTGAGCCTCAAGTAGTACAGCTGTGTAAACACAATCATTTGTCCCTGCAGATGAGTAAGTAAAATACAGAGTATCCAAAACTTGTGATTTGGATTAGCCAAAACTATGCACAGTAAAAGCTACTTCAGAATTAAAATCCAACAATGTAACTTGCATTACAAGCTGGATGAGCTGCAATGTAGACACTAACACCTGAAGTTGGCCCAGCACTTCCCACTTGAAGATCTCATTTCTGTTGCTGACAGTAGAAATACTTGTTTTCATAAACTCTCAGCCACTTGGACTATCATTTTTAAAGCTCTGTTCCTTTTTTCTCAAGTGCCTTAAATTTCAGAGTGACAGTTTGAAATTTTTCAGGATTATGCAGGGGAAAAAAATGTGCCTTTAGTTTTTCCTTTAAAAGTCTATGTGTATTTAGCCAGATGACTCCTATAAGGAGCAAGGGGGGGATATGACTTTAAAAATCAGATGTTTCACACCCTCAGAACTGCCATATAAGCAAATTGAGTTTTGCAACTAGATTTTCTTATCAAATTTTCCAAATATGCTAATGGATATGGCCTGTTCTTTTAATGGAACCTAATCTGAAACTGAGTTTCTGGTCTAGCTGTGTATGGAGACAAAAAGAAGTAAGTCTTCTCTCTCATGTTTCACATCATCTCCATGCATTTCTTACCCCTGGAGGAGCTAGGATATCCTTACAGATAGACAAACTCATCACTTTTTCTACTGTAAAATATAGAAGAAGCAGCATTTCTAGAGCTGAGTAGTAATTACAAACTTCTAAATATGTCAGTGTGGTATTGTTAAGATGCTAATTGCCTCAATATTTCAAGGTTTCCTTGCTCAGATTTATTTTATAAGAGCTGAATGCAAGACATTCAAAAGAGTGCTGGTGTCTACACGATTTTCATAGTACTTTACAGCTGTATTAATTCTCTCTTCTGGACTTCTTTTCAGCTAGGACGAAAATGCACAAACACATTTTTACATGAAATTTCCTATCTTTATTCAGCTTCTATTTCTGCCACAAGAAGGAAGGGGAAAATGCTGGGGTTTGTTGTTTTTTGTTTGTTGTTGTTGGGTTTTTTTGTTGTTTTTTTTTTGAATGCTTGACTGCAGGAATATTACTTCAGAGTAGTTTTTGGTTTGTATACAACTAGAGGGGAATAAATAAAGCTAGTGGGTTGCCAATGTTTTTGTACAACAGGTCAAGTTCTTGCTTTAAGATCTTAGCCCTCGAATTTAGGTTCTTGCTAACTTGCTGTGATTGATTCCAGATTGATGATTTATCTTTGCATTGGACTGGACTTTAAAATTCCTACTTGCTAATTTGCTTCCTTTCTCAGATCAAGTTCCGAACCCCAACAGATTTTTGTAAATAAACGTATCATTTCTTGTAAGATTTTCAATATTTTGATTTAACAATAGCATTATCAGATAATTTTTAGGTATTCATGGAGAACAAGAACTTATCTGAGAGCCTCATCTGTGTGCTCCCAGGGTGTGGTGATTCCTTTAGCCTTCAAACAATGGATTTCCTGTGAAGGTAAACTTACACTCAAGAACAGCCCGGTCTGGTTTACAGCCTGAAATAGAAATGTGAAACATTTTATCTGTGACTTATAGAGAGAATACTATCGGCTTTTCAAATAATAACCCCAGCTGTCCTCTTTCTCAGCACGGCCTTTGCAAGAGGTCAAAGAATGAGCAGCCGATAAAAGATCTGCTGGAGAAGGACAGTCTGCTGCACTGGCCTGGCATGTCACCTGGAACTGCTGCATTCTGGACACAAATACTTCTGTAAACTAAAACCAGGCAAGACCAACACATTTTATTCAATTAAGCTTTCATTAGACTCAATTATTTTGTTTTCCTTTTGACTAATTTATGTGAATTTATTATTACATCAGGAGCTGCAATTGAAATAGTTCTTGAATTTCCCAAGGGCATTTCATTGTTATTGGGTCTATCAGTATTTGGCGCAAATGGAAGAACAGCTAATAAGCAAGCAAATCAATTTCTGGGCGCAATTTACTTATCAGCCCATTCTCACGTCACATGTCCCACATGTAACTTGAACGACCAGTTTTTCCTTCCATTAGCAAGTAGATTAAGAAAAAGGATCTATCTCCTAGCAAGCACCTGATAAACCAGATGCTGTACCCCACCTGGAAATTTTAAAGTTATACGCAGGGCCTTCACTAGAATTGTATTGCTGTTTGTAGCAGCATTGAAACAAAGTAAAGATTGCGGCAATTAAGTATGGCTTTGTATCTAATAAAAAACAAACAAACACTTCACTTCCACCAACTCTACAGCTGAAGCAAAACATCTACTTGCAGCTCTGGAAGTGGGTCTTGCTTCAGTGATAGATGTACTCAAGACTTTATTTCTAACTTATTAAACTGCATTATCCATGAGGGGAAAAAAAAAAAACACAAAAAAACATTTTAAAAAACCCCAAAAATCCCAAAATCACAAAAACAAAAACAAAGTTAAAAAACAACAACAACAAAAACAACCTCCAGATGGTTAAAAACATACCACGCTCTTTGCTGGGAATGAAAGGCTGTAGGGAATGAAGGGCTGTTGTGAGCAAGTTACTCTGGTATGCCCATCTGTGTTGTTTCTCCACCAAATGCCAAAGTTGTTTAAGGTTCTGCTTCTGACATCCAGCATTCCCACTTGGTGGCAGCTCCCTTAGTGTCCCACTGTAATCACAAAGCTGTCAGCTAGCGGAGAGAAAGAAAGCTTTTGTCAGTAGTGCTCAGAGGCACTGCACTGTTACCAGGCTTTAGAACTGGCTATCTCATTTCATAATTTTCTCTTCTTGTGATAATCAATTTAAACTAACCTTAAAGAAGGAAAATTATTCAATATAGTTAGAAAACCAAATAATTTAGGCTTCTCTAGTAATTTTGGAAAATGTTATGTTGCATGATATGAAGAATTGAAACTGTTTTCCTTGCTAACCTTTCACCTTTCTTGAATTAACATCTAAGTGATTACTTCAGAGCCTCTCTAACAATCAGCTGGGGGGGTTCAATTCCAGTAATATACAGTTACACTTTTCATAAAGTCTGATCGTTCTTAGATTAAGTATGTGAGCATTGCCTAAGGCAGCCTTCTCAATTGTGCCAGATTAAGCTGAGCTGTTGCATCCCCTTTTAATAGCACAGAAAGCAGCAGAGCAAGTTTAGTTCCTGGTTACTACCAAAGGCAGTTACTGATCTGGCCAGTGTTGAAAGAGGATTAAAAGACACACTTTTGCTCTCTAAGCAAATATCTCTTTGGCTAGTGTAGTAGTGTTTATTTGCACTAATCATAAGCAATTTACAGTTTGCAAGATTTTTCCCATTCTGAGTTAAAATTCGGGCACATGTGTGAGAATAAAATTTATTTTATCTAAACTGGTAGCACAAAACTTTAATTTGCACAGGGAATCAAGAGAGAAGTGGTTTACTAATTTGGGAATTATGCCCAAAAGTCTGCAGCACATAAGTACAGATTCCTACCTCATAAGGACTCAAAATGGGTGAGCCTCTTTTTGTGCTATTCCCTTCCCCTGTATGCTGCAGGTGTTAGATAGACTGAGCTAGGAACACATATATAATCTATCTAGTCTTATCTTAGCAGAGGTGAACCAAAATTATTTTGTAATTCCACCCAACTTTATTTATCTTTGTAGGGTGGCCACAGAACAACTGATAAGTTGCAGCATTTTACTCCACCCTCTATGATGGCTAGTGCAACAATGCAATGTTATAAAGCCAACACTGTCTACATTTATATTGTGTTCAAATGAGGCTTGCTATTTGTCTGAACTCAAAGAGTTACCTCCAGGGAAGAGTTGAAGAGAACTTAGCTCCTCTCTCATCGGAGACATCAAGGGTGAAAAGTTTACATAATCTTTTACAAACATATTTTAATACCAATTATTGCTTCTTTTTGGTGTTTCTATTTCCTCTTGATTCTACAGCCAAGTTCATATTTGATAAGAGAAATAGGAGTGCTATGAGAGAGAACTGGTAAAAACTGACATATGTAGATACAGCTTAAACACTGAGTAGTCAAAAACACATTAACAGCAGTACAGACCTTGGAGCAGAAAGATTTATATAGCAGGGTTCAATCATTCCAGGGTTTCTCTATAGCAATGCCAGAAAGGATAGTCACAATCCAGAAGGCCTTCAAACCTGTACTAATTATTATAAGCTTGTTTTTTATTATTTTCCCTTTCCCACTTGAGTAACACAAAACTTTACATAGCTAAAATAATGCAATTAGAGAATTAAATAATAAATTGTATTGTGAATTACCTGTACATGTATTCCCAATAACTGCAAATATGTCAGTCAGTCAAACTCAAAAACTATTTGGATGCATTAAGTAACTTAGGAATACTTTCTAAAGGCAGAATCCCAGAGGTGACCGGCAGCAGCTCATGGAAAGAAATGTGCATGCCCATCTGACTGACATTATATTTTACATATCCAGGGTGAGCAAAACAGCTTCTGTTCCCAGCTAAACAAATGATGCAGGTCATGTTCCATCTGCCAATGACTTCTTTGAGTTCTGTGTGGCAGTCAGCCATACCTCACTCTCATCATCAATACAGCTGTAAAAATATGTACAAAACCTTTGACCATTTCACCTCTTAAAATAGTAGAGCTGTTCTTGTTAACAAGTTTCTAAATATTCTGAATCAGAACATGTACATTAAAAGAAAATTTTAAATCTCTACTGCAGTGGTTTGAAATGTTTCAAAATATCCACTGGCTTGAACAAAGTAGCTACTATTGCCAGAAATTATTATTGGTCCCTAGTGAAGAGAAACTTTCATGCTCTTCTGTTACTTTGAGTGTGAGTAGTCTCTTTCTGAAGAAAGAGAAATAAGTGAAGTGGCTGGAAGATAAACATGTGAAGTGGCTTTTACTAGTTTTGCTGGGTAATCATGCAATTCATGCAATCTGCCTTCTACCAAGTCCAACTGTTTCCTTGGGCTGAAGTACCTATGAGCTTCACCAGCACTGTAAAACTGATCTAGATTTCCTGTCTAAATCTTATTTTTTTTTATCCAGTCCACTCTTCTCCAACTTATTCTGCCCAGATTTTAAATTTGTTCTTTGTCTACTTTTGAAATTTTGTGCTAAGTAAATGGTAAAACTCTACTCCATCACTCCGATGGGCAGGTGTGGATCTGGTGCACTGGAGTGCATCGCTGGAGTGTAGCTGTGCCACTCTAACCCATACATCACTATAAGCCATACACCACTCTAACCCATATACCCACTCTAACTATCAACCTGTACCTCTGGCAGGGCAGCCACACAAAACCTGACACATTTTGTATACAATGACCTGGCAGGATAAACCCTCTGTTAGATATACCTTGCAAATGTAGACAAATATGGTTACAGTAGATGAACTGGAATGAAGATGTTTCTCCTATCAGCTCTGCTGTTGATTTTTTGTGTGAACTTTGATCACTTTATAACTCATCATTAGTTTTCCTGCTCTCATCTGAAGAATGGTGAGATAACCACTCTCTCAAAGGCAATGAGCCAGCGTGTGCAGAAGAGATCTGAAATCACCAGCTAGAAGGTGGCTCTCACAGGACAGCAATGCAATGTATCAAATATCAATGCTACAGTTTCTTTTTAAATAGTATTAGACTCTGGATTTTCATCAGAATTTATTGCAAAGTTTTATTTCTCTGTTGGCATGACAAAGATGTTCTTTTATTGGTATCTTGGGGAGGTTAATTGCATTCGAGTGTTTTGTTTCAAAGTTCAAATCTTCAGTGAATGCAGGCAAGCTGCTTTTTTATCATAAGATTTCATCACACACCCTGTTCCTGGGGGATATTTTGGCTATTAACAGTCCTATTGGTTCAAATTTTATTTCAGTAGATTTTATATTCTCTGGTATTGCCACCTCTCTTCAACTCTTGAACTCTTACAGACACCCACCCTATGTAGGCTCTAAATGTAGGCTTTATTGAACGGGTGAAATATTTACTGAGCTGTAGTAAGCCCCATACAGTGCTCAGTAAATGACACGTGTACATTGTTTTGGAACATGCTCTGAGATCCTGCAGGGTGAGGAGTGGAAAATACTCCCTGTTACATAGATGGCTTTGCATAATGGACCTCAGGTACTACAGAGTGAGTTTAGAAGCCGAAAGAGAATATAAGGCCACACTTCCCAAAATGCCACTGCGTGCACACCAAGGGAACTCTCCATAGCTACCAGTTTTCTAAAGGAAAATGTCAGAAATGTGGACACAGAACAATATAAGTATAATCCCTGTGTTCATGTAAGTGTGAATAGTGCCAAGCTCCGTGCAGCTTTTTTCCACCTGGCACACTGTGTGCATTTTTAAACAAGGCTTCACAAATTAGACGATCATGTAGCACAGAAGGCAGTTCATTGCAGGAGGCTAACCAGCTTAATTCCAGCTAATGGTATGGTTCTGGCTGTAATTTCATAAGGAATTGGTCCTTTTCCTTGACACCAAGAGGAAGATATGGCCCAGAATCCAGACTGAGGGGTGTGAGTAACAAATAGTTTGGAAAAGTTTTACATCCTGTGCCATGCATAATTTAGGGAAACTGGTAGAAACTCTTACTATTTGATAATTCAGTGATTGTGTAAGTAACTAAGAGACAGCAACATAGGCACTGATGTCCCAAGCTGGCACTATGAAATAGCACAAAAGTAGTGAAATTATTCTGGAAGTGTTTGAAACAATAGAACCTCTTAATAATTTTAGCTAATAATTTTAATTATTGTTTAATTTTAACATATATATAGTACAAATAGTGTGTTATTCTTAAATTACTCTTAGCCAGCATTTAGCAAAGTTGTCATAAGCAGCTAGTGTGGGAATAGTGCTTGGGAAAATGAATGAAATTTTAAGTTTTGCTAAGCTAAACTTGATATGCTTCAATGAACAAGGCCTGGTAGAGAGTGATGTATTGTTGAAATTGGATACAAGAAGCATAGAATTTATGGACTACAAGGACATTTTGCAGAAACCAGAAGATAGAGAAGAAGCTAATAAAGACTCAGTATATTATACTATGTGCTGAAAAGTCCCTACCTGGAAAAAAAATACTAAAAAGACTGAAAAATATAAACTAATTAGCATGAGAAGTGAGAAATCAATAACCAATAGAAAATATAATACCAATTAATGAAGGACAATCATGTAATTTAGAACCAATGAACATTAATTTCTTTGTTTGCTAAAAACATATAAATAAGCAAATGAGTTTTGTATCTGCATTTGTGTGGAGTTCAGAATTTTGTTGGCCACATGAACACCTCCAGGCTAAGAATAAAGTAATGCCTTACTCAATGACACTAAAAAGACAGTGTTAGAGAGTCTTATTTATCCTGACAGTTTCAGAGGATTTGATAGCTGAAACGTCATTCAGCATTCAGGACTCTGCCTCTACTGTGATTTGCTGTAGCCTCTCAGCATTCCCTGTGTCTTCTGAAGACACTGCTGAAGGTTCTCTGTAAACTGAGACTAACAGAGCAGTGGCAAAGAAAGATCTGCAATTTGCAGTTACCAAATAACCTGTCTGCCACAGCAAATGTCTCCATCCACTATTCAGTAATAAAAGGCATTTAATTAGTTACGTGTGAGAGTCTATATCCCTGGTCAACCTTTAATTTCATTGCTTTAGCAAAATAAGCTAGTTAAAACAAGACATCTCTGTCT